AAATCTCCTTAGCCCAAATTAATATGAATAGTAAAAGTTACAATGTAAGAGAGATTTCTGAGCAGAAAAATCCTCCAAATTCTCCTTGCCTACTCTGAGCCATCCTGCCCATTCCTCATTGCACACAGATCCCTCTCATTTCACTCCAGGCTAGCTTCAGCAACTTGGTACCTGACAAAATAAACATCCCAGGAAAACAACTAACGTTTGCAACACACTTTGATTTACAAAGAACTTGTCCATGTGAGACCTCATTTAATGCTCATTAGATTTTGTAGGATACATAAAAAGAACATCTATTTTTATCCCCATTCTAGAGATCAGGTCACTTGGACTCAGTGAAGTAACTTCTCAATGTCACATAGGTGAATAGTAAGGTGCTGAACAGGGGATATAACTCAGATCTTCTGATTCCCAATCCTAAACAATGCCAAAATATTTCATCAAACCAGAGACCCCATTCCCAATCTGGTAGAGGATATTTTATAACAGTAAAAGCTAGGCAAATTGTTGATCCAATGGAACTGTTTCTGATCCCATCTAGAGCAGAGGTTCTCAAAGTATGGTTCATCTCAAGACCAGTAATATGAATGGTGATCCTAAATAGAGATTTCAAAACACAAAGTCAGAATGTACTTGGCATGTGTTTGAAGAAATCAAGCAAGAAATAGCAAAGAAAAGAGACTGTTTACTTCAGCTAACTTTACTACTTTATACAACTCACCAACCCATGTTTGTGAAGAGAGGGCAGAATCATGGTGCTATAACCAAGCCTGAATTGAAATAAATTAATTTGGATCCCTAACTCTTCCACATCTTGACCAAGGAAAAAAACACCAAAGCAAGGCTAAGTACAGAAAGCTTGAAGAAGTCATCCATGATCACCTGATTTAATCTCCTGATTCTCCTTCTAGTCTATTCCCTCAAGAAGGAATGTGGCTGGGACTTACCAACCCTTGGCCAAAGTGTAAGGTTACATACATACATACACACATAAATAAATAAAAAATGGCTAAATAATTGGAAAGAACCTTGAAAAGTAATCAAATGAAAGAAAGTACTTTTGATGGCAGCAAAGGGAAATGCAGAGCAGATGACCCTAGGACCAACCACCCAAACAGAATAGTCCTCAAACCAAAAGTTTGAGACCCACACAGTATACAAATTAACAGTAAATGAGTTGTACTGCAAAAACTAGAAGAGTAAATAAGATAGGACTCATGATCTTAAAGCTACTAAACAGACAATCAACATTTATTATTAATAGCCTGAATTTTGATTCAAAGGAGCTCCTAACCCTCTTTTGCCCACTTCTAATAGGATCAGGTTGTATCAGGACAAACAAAAAGGAAGCTTTTAGAGAGGTCTTACCAACACGATATTTTAGTTCTATGAATGTTTCGCCTTCTCTGCTTAATTCTGTCACTTCACATGAATAATTTCCCAAGACAGCTTCACTCTTATCGATCTTCAAGGAGGCATCCCCTTTTAGTAATTCCGGGACTTCCATTCTTGCACTCTTAAAATTACCGTAGGTATTGGACTTGTTGACAACGCCATCAAAGGTGTAAATGTCTTTTCCTTTAAATCTCCACTTTACATACAGTTCGTTAAGGTTTTCTGCCTCTATATTATTAACACAGCACGGGATGACAACAGTTTCATTGCAGAATGTGAATTCTACAGATTTTGTTTTATTAAATAGTAGCTGAGCTGAACCTGGAAAGGAAAAAGAAAAATATTTTATTTAATTATAGAATTCTATACTATAAGATCTTAGGTATGTTAATTTTTAAATCCTTAAGATAAAGAGCAATGTTTCAGTTGTTCACTTATGTAAGCAGTGTAGCAATAAAGAGAAAACCTGAAAAGGTGGAAAACAGAAACAAATTATTTTAATATTAACTTGCACAGCTGGTAGACAACACTATAACTTTTCTTTATTCATTCTCAGTAATACAAAGTATACATTACCATGCATCTTGGGAATAAATACATTCAACTACTGTGTTGGAACATGCAGGTGTAGTATCTGGCTTTGGAAGCTTTGAAGTAATCATTACTGCCTACTGATATATGTAGGAAAATATTGTCCTTACCATGGGAAAATTTTGAACAGAAAATCAAACCAAATATTATATTCAGTCTCAACTGCAATGCACTTCTTCTAAATAGAACTTGCTGAACTGATATGAAATTTATCTCTATCTTTATGCTGCATTTCTAAAAAAAGTGGCAGGTTCTACTGTATTTTAATATACAAAGAAAATCAGATGAATCAAATCACATCTTTCTACTAGGATGGAAAGTCTTAGAATACTAATGAGAAAAAAACATTTCACTATGGCCATGTTCCCACTGCAAAATATAGATAGCCATAGATATTTTGTATATGAGTCTTACAAAGGATTATATCCAAATGAATGGCATTTTCCCACCCCCACATTTCATTGACACTACAGAATAACAATTCCCAAATGTATATTTTAGGTATTTATTTCCCCAAGAAACCATAAGCCACTCAAAAAGCTAAGAAATGGGTGGAAATCAAGAGCAGATACTGCTAATAAGTGGGAGTATCCTATCAACTCTTCTCAATTGGATAAACTACCAATGGTTGCCTTATAAAAGAGGGACTACGTAAATAAATGCAATCACTCCCCATTCAACTAAAACATACAAGAATGTGGGGAAATTGTAGTTGTCTTCCACATTCTTCAGCCATTTAGTAACTCTTTTTATCTAAGTAGCTAGTTGGCTTTTCCCACAAAAAAGCACAAAGCACTAACAAATGTAAATAAAATATCAACTTTGTTAATAGTTCATTCTTAAGATTTCTTCCTTTTATATAAACTGGAATAAAAATCAGAGGTATAGAATATTATTATTCTAAGAACATTATTATTATTCAATAAATGCCCATTGAATTAAATGCAAGGATGCAAAGTGGAATAAGAACTGGACAGTGGTCAAAACACCTGAGTACAGATCCCATGTCTACCACTTTTTAGTATGCCACTGTTAAGCAACTCACTTGTCTGTGCCTTGGTTTACTCTCGAGAGTAAGAGGATCAAAAACAAATACTGGGATACTTCACAGAATTGTGAGCATTAAAGGAGAAAATATATGGGCAAGTGCTCTTTAAACACTTTTACAGCAAGTGCTATTAAAATGTAGGGTGATACTATAAAAACTAGACACTCTGGTGTTTTAATGTAATAATATGGACCTTCTCTGACTAGTCCAAATTGTTCTATTTCTGGGAATTACAGTCTGAACCAACCTTGTGGATGTCCACAGCTTATCTCTTCCCAGTTTTCTACATTTCTAGCCACCCAAATATTAGGAACCCCAGGCAAAATTTGGACTTCCCATTGCATTCTTCAAAACCTTGGAGTTGTGAATTACTTCCCCTGTGAGAGAGAATAAAGGGGTGATGATGTCGGAATTAAAAAGGAAGGCAAGTGTAAGAAGATACGGTGGAAGATTTTGGAATGGACACAAAAGATTACTGGGCATCCTTTCAAGAGAGTACTGGGCATTGTTTAACAGATCCTTTGGGATGATCTGATTCTGTAGGGGCCTGTGCCTTTCACTGACTTTGACTGGGCTATTTTACAATTGTGTAAGTTGTAGAAAGTTGATGACAAGGCAAATGATCGGTGTCCATATGGATATAAATAAATTTTGTTCAGCAACTGATTTCCACTGGTGGAAGAGAAGATTCCAAAAAAATTACATTTTACTGCCCTGAGGATATTGACCAATTTTGCATTTATTAGAAAATTCATTTCAGCATTCCTGATTGCCTAGAAATGTGTCGTTCTTCCAATTTTCTTTTAAAAGAGTTTTGCCTTCTTGCTGGTTTGCTTGTTAATTAATGAGAGAAATAAAATCCTTGACATGTGTTCATTTTATATCTGTATGAATCATGGTTTTACTTTTTAAAAATTATCCTTTAAAAAAAGAGATACAAATGAAGAGCTCAGTTATCCTATCAAACTTTTTAAGAAGGCTCTAAGTAAGCGAGAAGTGATTGGTGAACACTCCACATTTTCCTAAGTTTAAAAAATGATTTTTCTAAAAAATACAAAAACATTAATTGCACAGCATTGTTAGTTATAATTAAAACATTTTGCAGCTGAAGCAATTTAAGTAGAATAAATACTGTCAGTAAAATTTAAAGTAAAATTGACCTGGATAAACCATAATTTGAATAACCTTTGCACTAATAATTAATAAATAAG